CGGAAGCCAGTTTCTGATGGAGGAAGTGGGAGAGGTACCCAACAAACTGGTTTGACCACCTGAGCATAACTGATCACTCCCAGTTTCGGAAGAAAGAAAGAAAAGAAGAAGAAAGAAACGAAGAAACAAAAGAACATCAGTGTGGACCTTCCCAAGGCTGAAATCGAACTTGGGAACTTGGGACAGCTCTGATACACTTCCCACTCTCTAACGATTTTAGAGCCGCTGTGCAGACACAGCTCCAGGCAGCTGTGTTGTCCTCGAGGACGGCACTCCAGACGCCAGTGCATTCTACTGAGCCCTGCTGAAAGGTCGCTGCGTCCCCATGCACCTAACTGATTGCTGGGTCACTTGGACAATGAATAAAATCAGTCTTCTAGGTTAAATGAAAGGTATTGAATGCAAGCACCTTTGGGTGCATTCAGTGTAAGAGCCAGCGTCTAGCTTCCCTGTTTGCTAGAAGCCAAACGAAGGGCGAAGGCGTAGACTTGCATAAACATTCTGTCCCCAGCTCCCTAGGGAGTTCATTTCAAATAATGCGGAGAGTCCAAGTCCAAGGCCAGCCTCCTGGCATATTTTTATTTCATTTCTCTGTCTCACTGTCAAACAGGGCTAATATCAATAATATGTTCCAAAGAGCACGGTCCCAAGGACCAAGTGAGAAGACAATTACCACTAGCTACAGAAATTACTTTAAAAAGACAGTTTTGATATTTATGATATAATAAACCAGTAATGCAAGAAGAAAAACAGTTTCTTTAAGAATCACCAAAACTTTATAACTTCCTTTTCCTTTTCTTTCTTTCTTTCTTTTTTTTTTTTGGAGAAATGTTTGCTATAGGACACATGCACTCTCCAGAGAGACAAAGAGAAACAGAAAGCGAGAAATCACCCCCCATGGAGGATGACCAGGCTGCAATCCCTTCTCCTCCAGTCTCCTCTCAGGATCTTGGATACACACGCACACATACCCAGTGTGAGTTTTAAGCCACCCTATCCAGGACTCGTACAGTGGTCAACTCTGTGGGAGTTCAGCGACATAACCATTACGCCATCTGCTGGTCCTATATTTTTTTTTCCCTAAATAAATGCTCTGGTAAGAAAGTCCTTCACTCTTGGAAAGACATGAGGAGTTCCAAGCTTCAGGGCCCTTCCTGTTCACATTCAGATGTTGCCAATGTTCTTTTTATTTCAAGAGTCTCACTATGTCTCAAACCCCTGTCTCAACTTCCCAGCTAAGTCTAGGGGTTACACCAGCAGGCCTGGCATATATATATTTAGAGATTTTTGCCTTCACACATATGCGCTGGCCAGAGAGAGAGAGAGAGATAGACAGATAGAGATAGCGAGAGGGAAAGTGAGAAATCACCCCCAGGGCGATGGCTATGCCGCCGCAATCCGTTCTCCTCCATTCTCACGGGATCTTAGGTACACACGCAGAAACACCCAGTGTGATTTTCAAGCTACCAGGTCCAGGACCAAACCCCAGTCACCCATGTGGGAGTCCAGCGACATAACCACTAGGCCTTCTGCTGGACCCTGCCTGGCTTTTTTTTTTTTTTTTCTAAAAGAGACTTTTTGCTATAGGGTGCATGTGCTTACTGGACAGAGAGAGACAAACAATCAGAAATCACCCCCGGGGAGAATGGCCACACCACAATCCTTTCTCCATTCTCCTCTCAGGATTTTGGGTATGCATGCACACACACCCGGCGTGAGTTTTAAATTGCCAGCCTCACGACGCAAACCACAGTCGACTACGTGGGAGTCCAGCTACATAACCATTATGCCATCTGCTGGTCCCTGGCCTGGCTTTTTTTAACACATGGTCTCACTATGCTGCCCAGGCCAGCCTTGAACTCACCACTCTCCCTGAGCACATATGCCCTATGGCAAGTTAAGTGACAGGGCAGAGCCAGTTACTGAAGGCTCAGAAGTGAGGGGGTGCTGGGAAACAGCTGGCAGCAGGCCCCTGAGTCTGGGGTTCGCAGCTCCTGCACGGCTAAGCCCTGGTCCAGCACGACCTGCAGTATCCTCTGCAGTTCCGGACTCCAGCCAGGCCAGGCCAGTCGTTCCACGTCTCCACCCTCACACATAACGACCCAGCTGGGGTTCTGTTCTCCATCTCACCACCCGACCTGCGGGTTCATTGCCAACTACTCTGAAACTCCGAAGTTGCCTCTGTGTTTTTTTCAGTTTTGCTGTAAGGGATGCGTGTCTTGCTGGAGAGAGACAGACAGAGAGAGACAGAGAGAAATCACCCCTGGGGAGATGGCCACGCCGCCATCCCTCCTCCAAGCTCTCGGATCTGGGCGGTACTCACACACGTGCACCCCGCACGCTTTCCTTTTTTTGTTTTGTTCTGTTTTTTCCTTTAGATTTTTGCCATAGGGTGTGTGCACTCTCAGGAGAGATATCTACACAGGAAAGTGAGACATCACCCCCCAGGGGATATGGCCATGCCACAGTCCCTCTTCCTCGATTCCCTCTCGGGACCCCGGGTACTCATGCACATGTGCCTAATGTGTTTTTCAAGCCATCAGATCCAGGACTTGAACCACTCGCTTGGCCACATGGGATCCAGCCACCTTAACCACCATGCCACCATTGGCCCCGGAAGACTTCTCCTAACTACTCCAGCAGAACAAATTCTGTTTTGCCCTGAAGCCAATGACATAGAAACTGTGACTTCCCTGTGGCACTCAACACATTTGGCCTGCGATGGAAGTAGGTAAATATACCATTTCCCTTCTTAGTCTGTAAAAGACAAAGGAATTCTACAACTAAAACCACTGCTCATATTAAGATACGACTCTTCGGCACCAGCAGATAATGTAGCGGTTACGTCACTGGACTCCCACATGACTGACCGCAGTTCGAGTCCTGGACCTGGTAGCTTGAAAATCATGCTGGGTGCGTGTGTGTGATTATGTGTGTGTACCCAGATCTCAGGAGAAGAATACAGAGAGGAGACTGAGGCGTGGCCATTCCCCCTGGAGGGTGATTCTCACTTTTTCTCTCACTGTGTCTGTCTGTCTGTCTTTCTCTCTGGTGAGTGTATGTGCACTAAGGCAAAAACTTCTTTAAAAAAAAAAAGATGCTACTTTCTGAAAAGGTAGTTGTATAGATTCAGGCAATATTAATTCAGTTGTATTAATTCAGAAAAATTAATCAAGAGTTTCATTTCATCCAATAAACATGTACTAAGGCCCCAGCCACGGTGGGCACGTGCTAGGACACCACCATGAGAGGCTGGAAACACGGGGGACGCCTGGTTTGGTGCCTGGGCGTGGTGGCATGCTCCCAGGATGCTGGCTCCCTAGAGGCTGGGGCAGAGGTCACAACAGCAAGACCCCGTCAAAGATACTTCTCTCTAGCTGCACTCCTCCCTCTTGCTCTCTCTCACACTGTGAAAGAAAGAAAAAGAAAAGAAAAGAAAAGAAAAGAGAGGAAAAAAGCCCAGCCTTGGTGGTACAGGAGGGAGCAGGTTGAATGGCAGTGCTGGAAGCCAGGTGGCCAACGGTGGGGTCAGAACCCCAGTCAACCTGAAACACGGGGCAGCCACGCCCGGGACCTCGGCGAGCTGGAGGGGAGAAGCTGATCACATGTGATAAGCCCCTGTCACAGGTCTCCTGCGCGCTCTCCCTCTCTCTCTCTCTCTCTCATGTGAATGCACATGCTCTCTGATAAATAAAATAAACTGGAAAAAAAATGTAATGAATGACTTCTTTTTTAAAAAAAAAAAAAGAATTATTTTATTTAACGTTATTTATTTATTTATTTTAATTTGACCAGAGAGGGACAGAGCAAGAGCGAGGGAGAGAGAGAGAGAGAGAGAGGGAAAGCAAGCCGCCAGGTCTAGGACTCGAACCATGGATGGCCATGTGGGAGTCTAGTGCCCGTAATGACTTCTATGTGCAAAACACTGCCCCATCAAAAATTGTCAGATCTACTGCAGGAGTCAGAAATATTTTATTTTTAAAAAAGAATGATTTATTTTACTTTATTATTATTATTATTCAATTTGACAAGAGAGAGGGGGAAAGCGAGAAAGCAAGCTTCCAGGTCTGGGATTTGAACCACAGTCAGCCATGTGGGGAGTCCAATGCCTCAACCACCACGCCACCTGCCAGTCCCATAAATGTTTTCCATAAAAGGTAAGACTGTAAATATTTTAGGCCTTGCAGACCATGGGATTTCTGTTGTGACTACTCAGCTCAACCACTGCAGTGAGAAATCAGCAATAATGTGTAAATGAGTGAGAGTAGCTGTGTTCCAATAAAACTTTATTGATGAGGGGCCAGCAGGTGGTGTGGTGGTCGAAGTGCTGGATTCCCACATGGCCGACTGCAGTTCAAATCCTGGACCTGTTGGCTTACTTTCTCAATTTCCCTCTCTCTCTGGTCAAATTAAAAAGAAAATAGTGACAATGAATAAAATTAATAATCCTTTAAAAAAAACTTTACTGATGAACACTGAAATTTTAATTTCATGTTATTTTCACATCATGATATCTATATGTATACATATATATTTTTTTAATGCGTGTGCTTGACAAAGAGAGACAGAGAGAGAAGGAGAGAGGGAAAGTGGAAAAGCAGCCCCCATGGGCCATGGTCATGCCACAATCCCTACTCCTCCATTTCTCCCTTTCAGGATTCTGAACACTTACCTGGTGTGTCTCTCAAGCTGCCAGGTCTGGGGTCCGAACTGTGCATTGGTCATGTGGAACTCAGTTGCCTCAACCACGGGGCCATGGGCCGACCTGATAACATTACTCTTATCTTGATTTTTTTTCTGTCAATAATGTATAAAATCTAAAAATCCTTTTTAGCTTGTGGGTCAACACAATGACCAGTGGCAGACCAGATTTGGTTCCTTGGCCATATTTTGCCAGCCTCCATCTAACAATCCACTCAGGAACACCCAAAGTTCTATCCCTAACACCAATATAACATACCACCTTGTTGCCATTTTGACAAGATCTGCGGTTGACTTACCCTGTACTAGGTAGATTTTCATTCGCTTATGCAACAAGTATTCACTCAGGGTCTACCTCATTCCGCACATGGAGGATACGGCTGTAAAAAACATAGGAAATACGATTCTCTTTAGAAAAATCATCATTTTACAACTACTACTGTAACTGTTTCTAGCATCATTAAAAGATACTAAAATCGGGACCAGCAGATGGCCGAGTGGTTATGTCACTGGAATCCCCCATAGTCAACTGAAGTTCAAGTCCCAGACCCAGCGGCTTAAACTCATACCAGGTGCATGTGCATGCATACCTAAAATCCCAAGAGTGAAGGAGAAGGAATTATGCTATGCCATTCCCCCCCCCCCCAGGAAGGCAGATTTATAACTTTCTGTCTCTCTGGAGAGTATACATGTCCTATAGCAAAAGTCTCTCTCAGGAAAAAGAAAAAAAAAGTAAAACTTGAGGCCAACAGGTGGCGTAGTGTTTAAGGCAGCTGAATCCCAAATGGTTGGCCATGGTTCCAGCTCCGGACCTAGTGGCTTAAAACTCACACCAGACATGTGTGTGTGTGTGTGTGGGGGGGGGGCAAAATCCCGACAGACAAAAAGAGAAGAAGGGATTGCAGCCTGTTCATCCCCCGGGAGATGATTTCTCACTTTCCTTCTCTCTGTCTCTCTCCCGCAAGCACCCTTGCCTTATGGCAAAACAAACAAACAAAAACAAACAAACAAAAAAAAGAATTACAGGAGATCTTAAAAGACTTAATCAGGCCTAACCCCATAGTTGGTGGTAAGGGAGCCAGATCCCACATGGTCGATGTGGTTTGAGTCCACCCCAGGTGGCTTGAGAAACGCACCAGGGGTGTGTGCATGTATGATTCTGTCCTGAAAGCAGGGAGAGGAAGGAGAAGGAATCATGGCATGGCCATGCCCCACCATGGTAATAATTTAAAAAATACGAAAAACTTTTAAAAAGTGAATTTGATGCTCTATGTATTATCTTTCAACAAAACTATTTTTATTTATTATGATGATGATTTTTAAGTGTAGGGCACATGTGCTCACCAGAGAGAGAGGGGGGGGGAAGGTGAGAGATCACCCTCGGGGGGACGGCCATGCCACAGTTCTCTCCCTTCCATTCTCCTCTTGGGATTTCGGCAGGCATGCATACGCACCTGGTGTAATTTTTTTTTAAGAGTTATTTTATTTTACTTTATTTATTTATTAATTTATTTTAATTTGACATGAGAAAGAGAGAGAAAAGAGAGAGAGGGAGAGAGAAGGAAAGGGAGAAAGAAGCTGCCAGGTCCAGGAAGCGAACCGCGGTCGACTACGTGGGAGTCCAGCAACATAGCCATTACGCTAACTGCTGGTTCCTTCTCTATTCTTTTTTTTTGGACTCTGAGCATGCACTCACATGCCCCAGTGTTGAGTTGCAAGCTGCCAGGTCCAGGACTCAAACCACAGTTGGATACGTGGGAGTCCAATGCCCTAAGCATTACTCCACTTGCTGGCCCCATTCATTAAGTTTTTTAAATCATGACTTCAGGTCACCTGGTGGCATGTGGTTCAAGTGGCTGGATCCCACATGGCTGACTGTGCAGTTTATGTCCCAGATGTGGTGGCTTGAAAAACACTCAGCGTGTGCACTTGTGTGCCCAAAATCCCAGGTGGAGACTGGAGGAGGGACCGCAGCAGGGCTGTTCTCCAGCTACCTCTTACTTTCTCACTTCCCTTCTGTCTCTGTCTCTGTCTCTGGTGAGCACGTGCATCCTCTGGCAAAATTTAAAAACTTAGTGTTTCTGTTTTACATATAATTGATGTGTATCTGTGTGGGCTACCAAATGATTTGTAGGGGTCATCAGTGGCATGGTGATTAAGGCGGCTGGATCTCACGTGGACAACCGCACAGTTCGAGTCCCAGACCTGGCAGCTTGGAAAGCATACCAGGTGTGCGTGTGTGCCCAAAATCCTGAGAGGAGAATGGAGAAGGGATTGTGGCGTGGCTACCTCCCTTGGGAGCCGTTTCCTCACTTTCTCTCTCTCCTCTCTCTCAGTCTTTTCGTTTACTTTTTTAACATTTTATTTATTCATTCATCTAGTTTTTTAAATTTGATATGACCAGACACACACACACACACACACACACACACACACACACACATATACACAGAGAGAGAGAGAGAGAGTGAGAAAGCAAGCCACCAGGTCTGGGACTTGAACCACGGTCAGCCATATGGGAGTGTCCAGCACCTTATCCACTACGCCACCTGATGGTCTTCTCCTTGTTTTTTTTTTTTTTTTTTTTTAAAGAGGTTTCACCAGAGGGCATGTGCACTTGACAGACAAGAAACAGAGAAAGAAAGATGGAAAGTGAGAAATCATTCCCCTTGGAGGACAGCCGTACACTGCAATCCCCCCTCTTCCATTTTCCTTTTGGAATTTTTGGCATACGCACAAACATGTTTTGTGTAATGTTCAAGCCATTAGGCCTAGGACTTGAACCACGGTCGACCATGTGGGAGTCCAGTGCTCCAACCACCACAACACCTGCTGGCCCCTCTCTTTTTATTTTCCTCTGGTGAGTGTATGCACCCTATAGCAAAATGAAAAAGAAAGGAGGGGGGGCCTCAAGCCAGGCAGACAGGTGTAATAATCAAATCAAAGATCTGCCATTTTCATCTTTTCCCCATTGAACATCACGTTACACTGTGCACATCTGTTAACAGTTCTAGGTTTTACTGAGATGTGTAAATTGTCCGTATTTTTATTTTCGGCACGACACCCTCCTTTATACCTGCATTCTTTCCCGATTTACCTGCGTTCTTGCATCTTTGATCAATCTTCTCATGAATCCCACCCACAGGACTCTCGCCCATGGGAGCACTCACTCACTTCATTCACTCGTTTTCATTTTCCTTTTTTTTATGCCAACGGCCACATGCACTTGCCAGACAGAGAGGGAGAAAGCACCCCCAATGATGCATGGTCATGCCACAATCTCTTCTCCATTTCTCTATCCTGCTGGGATTTGAGGGGCACACACACATACCCAGTGTGTTTCTCAAGACACCAGAGCTGAGGTTCAGAACAGGCAGTCAGCCATGTGACTGACTCCCTTAACCCCAGGCCACAGGACTGGCCCCTGTGTTTGTTCCTCAGAAAAACACAACCAGCCAAAACTGGTGGTTACACAGCTCCAGGGTCCAGTCCACACAGTCAGCATAAGCCCCACCCTCTGCAGCTGTGCAGCACCTTGGTGTTAGGCAGATCCTGTCCCAGGCAATGTGTAAAAACCCTGGGGACAAAACAGCGACCACAGCAGTTCTCACATCGTGTTATCATTACCTGTTTCATTCTCCATCTTCCCCAGTGTGATGTAAACCCCACGAGGCCACAAGCCATGCAAATGCTAAGTCAGATTTCTGGAGGAGTTGATGACTAAGGCGTTTACCCAGCCAAGAAAAGGTAGAGTTCAAGAAGAGGATTCTAGTCAGACAAAAAGCACAAGAGAGGCAAGTGTTTGACAAGCTCTGTTTCACTGGGGAAGAGAACAGGAGTGGGGTGGAAGAGAGAGACATCCAAACAGGACTATAAATCACTACAAAGAATTTAGACTTAATCCTA